TCTGGAACTCGAGATCGGTGAATGGACACTTCCCGGTGCTCAGTTTCCTTTGGAGATGGCACGAGATGCAGACGTGGGAAGCAATTCGCTACTGACTTACCAGCTCACCAGCCCCTCGTCCTTTAGTTTGGCCGTGACAGAGAACCCTGACGGAAGCAAGCAGCCAGAATTAGTGCTGGAGAGAGCCTTGGACCGAGAGAAGCAGAGCTCATTTGAACTGGTGCTGACGGCAGTGGATAGCGGAGAGCCCATGAGGTCCGGGACTGTCCAGGTTCGCATCAACGTTACTGACGCAAACGACAACCCGCCCGTGTTCAGTAAAAGAGTCTACGAGGCGAGAGTAGCGGAGAATCTTTCACTGGGGTCTCTGGTGCTCCGGGTACAGGCGACAGATGCAGACACGGGCTCCAACGGGCGGGTCTCCTACTCATTCGGCAACGCCGGACAGCATTCGTGCTTTGTTCACTGTCGACAGCGACAGCGGCGAGGTCAGGACGGTGGGGCCTCTCGATTTTGAGGAGAAGAATAAATATGTCTTCGGCCTGGAGGCGACGGACGGAGGCGGGTTAACGGCTCACTGCAAGGCTCAAATAGATGTCACAGACGAGAACGACAACGCGCCCGATATCACCATTCTTTCACTGTCGAGCCCAGTGCCCGAGGACGCACCGGCCGGCACCGTGGTGGCCCTGCTAAAAGTTCGTGACCGAGACTCCGGCGAGAACGGTCAGGTGTCGTGCGAGCTGTCGGGAGAGGCGCCGCTGTCGATCGTGGCGTCGTCGGGCGGCTCGTACAAGGTGGTGACGGCGAGCGCGCTGGACCGCGAGCAGGCGTCCGAGCACCGCGTGACGGTGGTGGCCCGGGACCGGGGCAGGCCGGCGCTGTGGAGCAGCACGGAGCTGGTGCTGGAGGTGTCGGACGTGAACGACAACGCGCCGGTGTTCGAGGAGGCGGCGTACAGCGCGTACGTGGCGGAGAACAACGCGGCGGGCGCGCTGGTGCTGCGCGTGCAGGCGCGGGACGCGGACGCGGGCGCCAACGGGCGCGTGAGCTACTGGCTGGCGGGCGGCAGCGCGGGCGCGGCGGGCGCGGCGCCGCTCGTGTCGGTGGAGGCGCGGAGCGGCGCGCTGTACGCGCAGCGCTCCCTGGACTACGAGCAGTGCCGCGAGTTCACGGTGGCCGTGCGGGCGCAGGACGGCGGCTCGCCGGCGCGCAGCTCCACGGCCACGGTGCGCGTCTTCGTGCTGGACCGCAACGACAACGCGCCCCGGGTGCTGTGGCCGGCAGCGGCGGGAGGCGGAGCCGCTGCGGCGCCGGGAGAGGCTCCGGGAGCGGCGGCGACTCCTTTCGAGGTGGTTCCGCGTTCGGCCGAGGCCGGGTACCTGGTGGCCAAGGTGGTGGCGGTGGACGCGGACGCGGGGCGCAACGCGTGGCTGTCCTACGAGCTGGTGCCGGCGTCGGAGCCGGCGCTGTTCCGCGTGGGGCTGCACAGCGGCGAGGTGCGCACGGCGCGCGCCGTGTCCGAGCGGGACGCGGCCAAGCAGCGCGTGGTGGCCGTGGTGAAGGACCACGGGCAGCCGGCGCTCTCGGCCACGGCCACGCTGCACGTGGTGCTGGCCGAGAGCTTGCAGGAGGCGCTGCCGGAGCTGAGCGAGCGGCCGGCGGGCGCCGAGGCGGCGGCGGCGGCCGAGCTGCAGTTCTACCTGGTGCTGGCGCTGGCGCTGCTGTCGGCGCTCTTGGTGCTGAGCGTGGCGCTGGCCGTGCTGGCGCGGCTGCGCCGGGCCGGGCCGCCCGCCGTGCTGCGCTGCCTGGGCGCGCAGCGCTTCTCGCTGGCCGGCGCCGCCTTCCCGGCCGACTTCTGCGAGGGCACCTTGCCCTACTCCTACAACCTGTGCGTGGCGGCGCCGGCCCGCGCCGTGCCCGAGGCCGCTTGGCCGCCGCCGCCGGTGCCCGTCCTGTCGGCGGAGGAGCTGCTGGGCGGCGATTCCTGCGAGAAGCCGAGCCCGAACACCAATCTCCCCTTTGAAGAGCCGCCCGCCAATTCCGACGCACTGCAGGTCTGTAAAGGGTGGGCTTCTTCTCTTTTTAAAAGTTTCCGAATCGTCGTCATTTTCCCCCGGGTATTCTCTGCATGGTCTCAGTGGTTATTTGTCATCTGTATCCCCAGGTAGTGGCGGAAGTTTTTAATTTTTCTCGGTAACAGCTTCAGTTGAGAGGCTTTGATCATAGCTTCCGTTCAGCTAGTGCCAGCATTTCTCAGTGTTTGTCCATTCTTCCCCGAATCGTGTTTATGTCAGTTGCACAGTCCTGTCTCTGTGACGGATTGAAGTAAGGAACGGGCTATCCCCCGTTCATGGAGAGCAGGAAGCACTTGGTTCTTCCTTGGTCACAGCTTCAGGTGCGAGGTTTTGTCTTCAACACTCGAGCTCTGTACATTAGAATTTGTTAGCAACATTGAATGCAGATTCGTATTTCTGTGGAAGATGAATGGCTGATTCTGCATGATTGAGTGGAGGAGAAAAAAAATCAAGAAAGCAGTGACACCTGGTGTTGGAGCTTTTATCCTTCCTGACTGATTTATTGAGAAACCGGGTGCTTGGAACTCGTGTATGGCTTTACCCAAACCCGTTTGTAAAACTTTGTTTTGTCCCTCTTCGACTTAGAATGGAAACGAACGTGGAAAATTCCATTCTCCATCCTGAGTGAAAAAGGAGGTTGTTGCCCCTTTTGTAGCTGGGGGGGTTATGCAGTAGTGGGACTAGATGACTTCGTTTTTG